TCAAGGTTTAAACACAATTTTCTCTACAGTGAACATCCGCTGAAAAGTCTGTTCAGCCTTTTCAGCCTTCTGGTTTTTGATATTTACCAGATTCTTGGAATCTTCATTCTGCAGGTACTCTTAAGAGTTCATCTTATGAGTAAGGGGGAGTTCATACAAAGATTTGGAAATATTACTTTCGTGTGGCTCTTGAACATGGCTTCCCAATGAAAATTTTCAGTCACTCTGTCATCTGAGAACTGTATCCTCTGACACCTCCTAGCAATGTGACTGAAGTTTTCAATTTGGGTTCTAGCTGCCTAGCACTGTATGGTTTGAAATCTTTAAAGGGAAAAGAAAGCCTCATAAGTTCAGATTTCCCCTAGTGCATTTCCCTTCTTTCAAGAGACATATATCTTCAGTACTTCCTGCTTTTGTTTATTAGTATCTTTAATATATTTTTAAATGTTCTTCCTAGAGTTTGCATATTTTAAGGATATTTACCCAGAGTTTGATACAATAGAATGTGCCAGTCCCATTTCTTTCTGTTTGTTTTTTGAAATGATGCACATAGAGCACACTGCCAATTTCTGGAAAATTGTTTCTTTTTACAAAATATTTATTGTATATGAAGAGATTTAACATTCAGCCATACTGTTGATTTTTAAATATTCTCCAAGTTTTTGTTCTTTTATATATTAAAAATGTTAAGGAGAAAAAGTTATAGTATTAACTTTCCTTTAAATTGCCTTCCCTTTCTTAATTAGTCATACAGACTGAATTAATTTCTTAACCTGAGGGGAACCTACAATCTTGCCCTTCTGAGGTTTTCTAAAATAAATTGGAATAAGAGAGAAATACAGGTACACCCAAAAGGATTTAACATATATATATATATATATATATATATATATATGTATATACACACACACACACACACACACACACACACACACACACATTTTATGCCCTTTTTACTTCTCTTACTTTTTCCCTTAAATGTTTATGAGACATATTTAAAGGGCACCGTTTTCTATTCCTGCATAAGCAAACAAAGCTTTGTGGGTTTTGGGGTTTTTTTTTTTAACTGTCTATAGCAGTTGGGATATTTCTAACCCAGATTGTCAAGTATCTATATTTTTTCTTTACTGTATTTTCTATCATTTTTATTAGAAGTGTAATTCTCAAGCAAGGGGAAGTTTTTGGTTTTTTGTGGGTTTTTTTGTTTTGTTTTGTTTTATAGAGACTGTATGTATTGTTCACAATATTGGGGGGATTTATTGCACTTGGAGGCAAGTAAAACATTACAGTAATACCATTTAACCAAGCTCATCTCATGTCAATTAAGAACTTAACAACTGTGTAGTAACTTAATAAGAGGAAAACTGATATAGAGTGTTTTAAATCAAATAGAAAGTTTTGTTTAAGTTTCTATTAATTTAAAAAGACTAAGTGTTTTTAAATGTATAATTATTTCTTTATTTTTTAGCATATTATACAACTCTTTCCAAATTTTCCGTGAAGTAAAAAATAATCTAATAAATGATATTTCTATCTCCTATTTGTGTAGCTAGAATGTGCAGTATTCAAGATGTGATCAAATAGAATTGTACCACTTGGAATAAATGCATGCTCACACACATGCACACACACACACACAAGCACAACTCAACAGAGAAAATGCTGTTTATACTCAAGAGATTTATTTCTTTTTAATATCTACTGTTGTACTGAAGAAGCCTTTAAGTGTTTCTTTAATTACTCCTGCACATCTACCTTAACATCTTGTCTGATAACATTATCTACACAACTATTATTCCTTAGTTGAAAAGTGATTTAGTGATGGCTAATCTTTTTCTGTTTCCTCTATTGTCTGTTCAGTACTAGAAACAGCACTCGAAGTGACTCAAGCTCTACCTCATTTCCCCTTTGCTTTAATTAAATCATGTATTGACATTTGATGTAATTTATGGCTGATAATTTTAGATTTGTCTTATGCCAGACTATGTACTGTTTCATCTATTCCTTCTCAGTTTTATTTTCATTCCAGAAAGTTCCATTAAGGGAATATTAAATAAAATATCATATAAATATAATAAATGGCCATACACTGGTTTAAAAGCATTATTGTTCTTTTGTCTGTATTTTCCACTGGTAAGATAATTTAACATCAAAGTGTCCATAGTTCTCCTATACCATTTTACTTACACACACAGAAATTCAACCACATACATTTAAATAAGTAAGCATCAACGATTATGCCATATAGCAAATTTACTTTGCTTTATAATTTTCAGTTATCTTGCTTAATAATATAGCTATTGTTTCTTTAATCATTTGGCCATTTAACGCTTACCTTACATAGTTGGTAATAATATGTGGAACAGCTGCAAACTTTCACAGTAATAGATACAATCGAATCTGATGTGTCTAATTAATTTTTAGTCCAACAAATTAGTTTTGTTCTTCATTACTCTCCAATGGGAGGAAGACATTACATTTCATTATATTTTTTGTCTGCAAGAACAATGGAGCGTTACAGGTCACACACATCCCTTGTCTATGCTCTAATTAGTCTAACTGACAACATTGTTTCAAATATACCAGCAGCGTAAGAAATAGTAATACACCTTTGGTAACATAAATATTGCAGTACATAAAACATATTTTATCAACACAAATGAAGGAAAAGTTTTCTTTTCTCCTTGTTTAATAATGTTTATTTTCTTTTTGGTAATGCTTAGTAGCTATAAAAATCAGCAGGTATGGGGCGCCTGGGTGGCTCAGTGGGTTAAGCCTCTGCCTTCGGCTCGGGTCGTGATCCCAGGGTCCTGGGATCGATCCCCGCATCAGGCTCTCTGCTCAGCGGGGAGCCTGCTTCCTCCTCTCTCTCTCTCTCTCTCTGCCTGCCTTTCTGCCTACTTGTGATCTGTCTCTGTCAAATAAATAAATAAAATCTTTAAAAAAAAATCAGCAGGTATGTGTATGTCTCATATTGAAAATATGAGTTCATTTTAAATATATTTTTGTCTAAGTTTATGTATATAATAACTAAGGACAGATAGATTGGGAAGATTAAGCAGGTTATTACATAAGTGAATCTGGGTTTTACATTTGGAATTTAACACGAGATATTTCAGAAATGGAATATAAGTATGTATAAGAAAAATGCTAACAGCTATAACAAAAAAGCCTATATACTGATTGGCTTAACAAAATAAAAGTTTCTTTTTCCTTATTCATAGTCCCATCTGATATAGATTGGCGGAATGGAGGTTAGGGTTTCTCCTCCACACAGTCATTTAGGGAACTTCGATCCTTCCAACCAATAGCTCTGGATTCTCTTACAGGGGTCAGAATGCTCCAAAGACCCCTTTTTTCTATTTAACATTAGCAAAGAGGGAGAATGTCAAGTATTGTCACAGTAGTGTGTGGGTCAGGTCTGTCTTGTTTTAAACACCTGCTCTGTAAAATGTAAGTATAAACGTGCTTTAATGTATTTCTTTTCACCATATCACATTATGACTATAAGGCGGTATACATAACATGCCTATGCAGTATTGTAACAGTCACTTTGCTGCATTTAAGTACAAGTGAGTCTAGGCTATGTTGGCTAAATTTCTGACCTGGAAGAAAGGAGAAACTGGCAAACAAGTCATCTGTGGTTTTCAAGACTCTCACATCTAGGCAATTTATAACTTACATCCCTGAAGGTCCTTGAGTGGCTCTTAAAGTAACCCTTACCCATTCTTGGGTCATAATTTGGAGTCATAAACTACTATGTCCTTATCAGCCTCTTTACATACATCATCTTAACTAATACTTCCAAATATTTGAAATGGTGCTGTTGCCAACTAACAGAAACAGGTACTTGAAAAGATTAAGTCCCTTACCTAAGGTTATTGCTTATTTAAGTTGGTAAGTGGAAGAGATGATATCCAAACAGGAAACTTCAAAGACCATGTTCTTTCTACTATGTTGTAATGCCATAATAACTAAAATAATGAACGTCATACATGTGGTGTGATATGCTGAAATTTGCCACTTACATTTTGATTTCAATTTATTTTTCAAGTCTTTGATTTGTAACTAATAGGATATGATATTGACACTACAAATCACTTAATTTCCAGTGTTTAAATATCTTAATCTTTTAAATACACACCTAAATCCTTGCTTTTCAGTGATACTACAATTCCATAAGTTTTAACCTATTTTAAAATGTGGATTAAGATTTTCTTAATTATCTCTGAAAGGTCTAAACTGCCAAAATCATGACTATTTCTAGAGTAGTATTAGTCCAGATTTAAATATTTATTTTAGTAACATAGACCTTAGAATTAGTATTAAAGTTGTCTTTTTTATTCAACTTTCAAGCAGATTTTCAAATTAGTTTAGTTTTAATGTACCTTTTTGTATATACATATATATAAATTATAGATACTGGTCTCTATGAAGTACATAATTGTCATTGCTTTATATAGTAGTTTTAATACATCCCCAAAAATTAAAGGGTGTTTGATCAAAATAAGATCTTTGTTAGACTATTAAGGACAATATTAAATGACATATTTTTAAGCCATGAACAGTTGAATTGATGCAGTGCTATAGAGGAAAGACAATTTGCAAATTTTATGCATGTTGCAGTTGCTTTTTTTATTTTAATGAGACTACATTAAAACATACTTTACCTAACTAAAGAAAAGTTGCTGTTATTTTGCACCCTAGCACTTATTTTAGTACTTATTTATAAGGCAATAAATCAAGAAGCATTTCTGAATCTATTCATAGTAAACCAAAACATAAGGGAGCCATGTTCTTAATCACAGTTTAGGCTCATAATTTGATTCTTCTTCTGAAACTTATGAAATATACTTATCAATAATTGTGATGTGCTCAGAGCACAAATATTACCTGCCTTCGTAGGAATTTTCTAATTTTCTGTGTCTTTGGCATACCATGTTGTATTCCCGTGCTTACCATCATAATAATGTTTACTAAAACTACTATTTCTTCCACAGGGGGACGTAATGAAGTTGTCATTACTGAAAACAATAACAGTATTACTGAGCAAATCACTGATGTTGTGAAGCAGCCAGCCTTTATAGCTGGTATTGGTGGTGCCTGCTGGGTAATTTTGATGGGTTTTAGCATCTGGTTGTATTGGCGAAGAAAGAAGAGAAAGGGACTCAGTAACTATGCTGGTAAGAGACTATTTCTAGCTAAGAAAATCTCCTGTTTTTAGGAATGTGATGAAATGAAAGAGAGGGAATGGGACTGAATAATGAGTAAGTGAATGAACGAACGAATGGATGGATGTTTTGTCTTGTTTTAAACACCTGCTCTGTAAAATGTAAGTATAAACGTGCTTTAATGTATTTCTTTTCACCATATCACATTATGACTATAAGGCAAGCTTTTTGCTGTATCTCCAATGAAGCATAACAAGACCGCACACGGATAAATGTGTGACCATTTTTTCTCAACTAGTTCTTCAAAACACACACATGTGTGCGCGCACACACACACACACACTCACACACACAGACTGCATGCCGTGAACCCATTATCTAAGAGGTGGATTTAGGCAAGATCATTTCTAACATGCTCAGGAAGAAAATATTTGAAATATAGCTTTTAGTATTTCAAGATGTAGATTACAATAGGAACTGTCCCAGATGGCAAATAAAAACAAGGAAAAAAAATCTCATCAGAATTAATAAGACTGATGAAGCATGAATTAAGTGATTTACTAGTCTAGTCTATCTATTTCAGGGTGACCAATCAGCCTTTTAGAAAGGAGAAAAAGGAGAAGGAAAAGAAGCAGAAGAAGGAAAAGGAGAGCCTAGATGTTTGCAAAAATGTTTTCTTCTTAGAATCTGTGATAGAATTTCAAGGATGTCAAAAACTGTGGCCCTCAAAACATTTCCGAGGCAGAGAAGGAGACAGGAGAGGGGGTAGAATTACCAAGTCGGTGATTTAAAGAATGAACTCAGTATTGAAGCTATGTTCAATAGCAACTTTAATTGCAATTCATTTTAAGTGTTTCTTCTAACAATGCCAATCATAAAAATACATTGTCTCACAATATTTCACACTTTCTAAAATTTACAAGGGAACAATTTTAATTTCACATCATCCTACAAACACTTCAGAATTTTTTGACACAGTTTATTCAATCTTCTATCTCCAGTTTTAACTTTAAGTTTAAATGTTTATAAATGTCTTAATAACTGATTCTGATAGAAGCCTTATAGTTTATTAAGCTTATAAGCTGCTCTAGCCTTTAGGCTTCTTAGCCACTGATAATATCTAAATAGTGCAAAATAGAAGGGGATAGCACCCACTTGGTTCTCTTGCTTGTGATTTGACAGCATTTACATATAATCTTTCTTTATAGCATTGCAGCTAATGTCCATATCTTGTGAAAATTAAGGTGATTATTAACCATTAGAGTAAATTTCCATGACTAGAGAAAGCAGGACAGTGCATCCATTGAAAAGGGGATTCCATGCTTTGTGACTTGCAGTCATTCTGCCTTCCTCATGTCTCACTGATTGCTGGTGGCTTCTTCCTTGGGCTGTGTCATTTGACTGCTGTATCCCCACATCATTGAGGGGTTCTTTCCAGCAAGAGGTGCTAGGCAGTAACTAGTGTCAGAGTTTTGAACATTCATGATACTTTAATGTACCTTCTTGGTCTGCAATCCACTGATCTACCTTCATTCCTTGTAGGCATTTTCATCAATCCATCTGTTAAATCAATCGTCATGTTACAGTTCATCTCTGTGACATACGTATGAATCATGTAAATCATAGGGAAGAACTAATTTAATTCATTGTCTAGTTAGTGTTTATCCCTTTTCTTGATTTCAATGAAAATAATAGAAGATTGACTGCTCTAGTTTCAATGCAGAGTTCTAGGATATCCATATTTGAGGTGTTGCATTTTTATCTTCCACACTCATGTGCTCACTCCTATAAATAACATAGTTCGCATAACTAGTAGGTTTGTGCTTTTAGTAAAATTATGTCAGACAGATTTCTTTTTTCTTTTCCTTTTTTTTTTTCCTAATGGCAGTTTTTTGCAAACCTATGCATTTAATTTGAAAATATCTATTGGTCTTTGAGCTTGACAAGTATAGTACATTTCCTATTATCATTTCTCATCATGATTGATATCCATCTGCTTGTAGAGAAACTCCTAACTCAGAAGGTGCTATGCCCTTCAGATATTTTGGAGTAAGGCCAAGCCAGAGAGCAGCCTTTCAAAACCTTTATACTTAATTGATAGATGGCTGACTCTCAGAATGGATTCACCTTCATCTAGTAATTTGCCTTCTAGCAACTGCTGTTCTCTTCTAGGTGAGAAGCAAATGAAAATCCAAACCATAGGTACCTAGCATTGCATATCTGCCTTGGTAAATTTTTTTACACATTTCCCTCCATATATATCCTATCTTCCACCTGTTAAAATGTTCATGTTCTTGTCCTTATACAACCTTTTAAAAAGGGGATTTTTAAATATGAAGGATTAGTGGAGTATATATCATAGGTTCAAATTTCTGATATTTTATGCATGAGCTAATGATCTATTTAAGAGCACAGAGATTTCATACAGGGCTATTTTTTTCTTTCTTTGAAGTGTGTTGTAAAAATTATGGAGAATATACTCTATTTGTACTGGTTCTGTTTATATTTTGGTTATCATAACAATTCTGTGGGAATCTTATAAATTTTATAAGCATGGAGACAATGTGATTTTACTCACAAAGTAAAAAGACTAATATTTTCACTTTTTCACTGCATGGTAATGTCTCTATGGTGTCCAGACTTTATTGTTAATTCATCAGAGCATTGGTAGTTTTTTTTCCTAAATAAACAAAAAATCTACTTTGGGATAAATATTTAGATTAAGTTTATAACGTAAGATACTTCATTTATTTCAAACCCCAATTTTGCTCTTAGATTATACTTAGACAGTATATATATGAAATTTACGTATATTAAGATATACATATATATCTGATGCAATTCACATATATATATCTATATGTAGATATATATATGCACTTTAATAAAGCTTGGCTGACTCTAAGTAGAATTATAAAGCAGGTAAAATTTGATTTCAGCACTCCCTTTTTCCTACTTCATTCCAAATCTCTTCTTAACCACTAGAGGTAGAACAGGGAAGATTTTAACTAGTGGGAAGATATGTAAATATATTTCAGGGTAGAGATTCTAACTCTCAGCAAGATGCCTTCCACTCACTCTGTGCAGGAAAACTCACTGACTTTTATTACAGCTAGTCTTTGGCTCTCTGTCATGTGGATAATTATATTTGAATGTCTAGAAGGAAGAAAAAAGGTGCTACTAGGTATTGATATTTTCTTATATATCAGAGGATTTAAACATATTTAACATAAGACACTAGTGGAATGACACCTTACATTATAAAAACAACTATCAAGAATCAAATGCAAACTTACATATTTAAGTGATCTGTGCGGGGTACCTGGGTGCCTCAGTGGGTTAAGCATCTGCCTTTGGCTCAGGTCATGATCCCAGGGTCCTGGGATAGAGCCCATGTTGGGCTTCCTTCTCAGTGCAGAGTCTGTTTTTACCTCTCTCTCTCCCCCTCTCCCCGACACGTGCTCTCTCTTTTGCTTGCTCTCTCATAAATAAATAAATCTTGAAAAAAATGATCTGAAAGGAGAATTTGGCTTGAACCTATATTGCTTCTTTACACAGCAGATAGTGGAGATTTCCCCAGGGCAATATTACACACGAATTTCTTATTCAATTTTTTTTTCCTAATTATTTTTTATTTAAATTCTTCAGGCACAATCACGTGCCACATCTTTGCACATGGTGCAAAGAAGGGCAGCTGTGACAAAAAAAGGAATCCTTATATCTCATATTCTGGGTGAAATGATTTTATACTTTCATTGAGCATTATACAATGTTATTTATCTTCTTCTCCATTGAGCACTAACAGTCTTCTTGTCACCGCATGTGAGGTTCCTGGCTGCTTGAATAATTCAACACCCGAGTTGTAGCATCAAATGAATGGTACAAAGATTTGGGCAGGAGATACAGAGACCATTAGGTGATTTTTGAATCTAGAGTAAATGTTTGATCACATGTGTTAACAGTGTTTGTGAATAGATAAATGAATAACATAAGTATGGGTAAAAATTATGGAGCTCTCAGGATTCTATGTAGCTATATTATATAGATAATATGAGTGTTCATGTATATCCATTTTATAATCCTCACAAAGGTTACATGACTCTTTTCAAACTTACGTTGTTCACTTTGTTATTCACAATTGTTCATTTGTCAACTTTGTAATGAAAGTGTGTATATATATATATATATATATATATATATATATATATTCACTTGTAAAGGGGTGAGTGATAGTTTATGAGTATTACCTTTGAGAATAACAGATTCTGTGAAACTCAGTAAATATAAAGTTTAATGAGTGAGCAAATTATGAAGTGCTAAACACTTCTTGCATAGGCTTTAAAAACCATTGGTGAAATAGAAATTATTTGACAAAACTATTCAAAGACAGCTAAAAGATTTGATGGAATTTTTATACTCTGATTATCTGGGCTGTGTTAATGCTTATTAAAAGAGGATTAATCTACATTCATTTTTGAGAAATAGCTTATCAGGAAAGGAAAGGAGGCTTGGCTAGCAACATTAAAGTTTCCATTTGGAGTAGGAAAATGTGGCCTTCTAGAGATAGGCACTGTGAAAGCTTCCTTACCTCAAAATGTCAATTTACCACACCACTATATTTCCCTTCCCCCTCAGTTCTAGCAGGCATGAGATTAGGATTAATCCTGTCAGATAATAGTAGAGGTACATTCTGTATGATGTAACTTGCAAAATCTCTTTACTTCATATCCTTTATAAATATTGCAATAAATTCAAAATATTTAATGCCATTCTTAAACACTTCAGGTTGTGGTATCTGTAGAACTTTTTAGATACGTTAGCACTATCCAGTGAGTTTTCAGTAAAAACTTCTGTATGTTGTGCCCTGAAAGTTCTTAACTTTAGATACTAGCAGGGACTCCTTCCTGGTAAAGATTCACACTTCTTTCAAACTTATCTCTGTTAAGCACAAAGTTATTACGCTGTGATTATAAAAATCATGACTAGAGCAAAATTGTCCAACAACCTCTCCTTCCATCCCTCTTGCTTTTAAATTCAAGGAAGTTCAACATTTCTTTGAAATGAAAGCTACCTCAAACAGCTTTCAATTTGCTGTGGAATTTATTTTATCTTATTTTATTTCTACACAAAAAGAAAGACTGAAAGAAAGAGGAAGGAAGGATAGAAGGAAGGAAGGGAGGAAAGAGGGGAGGGAAGAGAAATGCTCATCAAAACACCATATGTGACTTCTATTTTACTCATTCTAATTGCTTGTCCTTATTTCTTGTCTACTTTTCATCTTGTGGTCTAATACGACCCAGTTACTTTTGGTCTACTTTTCAAAATGGAACAAATCTGTTTGGAGCATGGAATAAAAGGGAAACTTGAATATTCATCCTTTTTCCCCTTGTTTTCCGAAGACAATAAATCAATACTATGATAAGAGTTGTTTTTTGTTTGATTAGTTTTGGTTTTTAGGTTTTCTTTTGTCATGGAAGCATACAAAATGGAGAATTTTCATGTATACCAAATTCTGTCTATGGACCATTTTAAGTTGATCATGTATTTACATAATGTACTGTTCATTTTTGCCTCTGTACAGTTGGTATGTAGAGGTACAAAGATAAGTGTCATTATGGAATATTTTGCCAAAAGCAGTCTAGAAAGGTTTGAAAACAGATTTTAATGATGATTGTAACACAGAGAGAAACTGGATATGTCGTAGGTGCTTTGAAATTTAAAAGCATTTTACTCATAGTATGTAATTCTTAGTTGGTAAATATGACCCTTAGCATAGTGTCCATATTCTAACATGTCTGTAAATTAATCCTGATTGTATTTTCCCAGTTTTCTATTGTGTTAAAATGCACGTAACATAAAATGTACTATCCTATTTTCAGATGTACAGATTGGTGTCATTAAATACATTCAGAATGTTGTGCTATTATCACCATCATCCATCTCCAGAACTCTTTTCATCTTCTAAATTGAAATTGTATACCCTGTAAACAATAACACCCATCTCCCCACTTCTCCAACCCCTAGCAACCACCGTTCTACTCTCTGTCTCTATGATTTTGACCACTCCATCTACCTCATATTGGTGGAATCATATAGTACTTGCCTTTTATGACTGACATATCACTGAACATGATATCCTCAAGTTTAGCGTATGTCAGAATTCTCTTCTTTCATATAGCTGTATTGTATGTATACACAACATTTTTCTTGTCCATTCATCCATTTATGGTCATTTAGATTGCTTTCAGGTTTTAGCTATTGTGAATAACACTACTTTAATTCTTTGAGACCTAGCTTTCAATGCTTTTGGGTATATACTCAGAAGTGGAATTTCTAGATCATATGATAATTTTATATTTTTAATTTTTGAGGAACCACCATACTGTTAACTATTTTCCACTATGGGTTCACCATTTTATATTCCAACAGCAGTGCACCAGAGTTCCCATTTTTCTACATCCTTGCCAACACTTATTATTCTGTCTTGCATAGTAGGCATCTTAGTGGGTGCGAGGTAGCATCCATTGTAATTTTGATTTTTATTTTCCTAATGATTAGTGATGTGGAGCATCATTTCAACCGCTTGATGGCCATTTGGATGCCATCTGATAAGATTTTGAGTGTTGCCTTATAAGTTTAAATTTTACACTTAAAAAAAATATTCATTTATTTATTTTAGAGAGAGTGCTAGGTTTGGCTAGCAAACCCTGAGGTACCAAATGAAAAGATTACTTTTTTTAGTCCAGACACCTAGGAGAGAGCGAGGGGACCAGACTCTCTAATGGCAAAAGGTCCCAAGCCAGACTCAGTCTCCCCTTTAATTGCAGGTCTTATCAATACATCAAGTAGGAACAGAAAAACAGAAAGGAATGTTAGGCTTCAATAATCAAGACATATACATATGAGGCAATGCATGATGCAAACAAAGCAAGCAGTGTTTGTGTCGTGTGTGTGGGCTAAGGGAATGATGAATATGTGACCATAAGTTAAGAGTGTTTTTCATCTAAGTTAAATATTTACACCCTAAATGAGAGCGTTGAGCCACAATAAAAATCTGGCTGTTTTCAGCTCAGAAACTTGAAAGAAAACCCAGAGCTGAAGGCACTCCTCCTTTTCTTTTCAATTGGTCTCACCTCGGGAGCCATATTTCACTTAAATCTTATCTATCTAGGCACTCTGAATCCCCACAGAGAGAGAGAGAGAGAGTACAAGTGGGAGGGACAGAGGGAGAAGGAGAGAGAGAATCTGAAAGCAGACTCCTCACCGAGCCCGGAACATGATGCAGGGCTTGATCTCATGACTCTGAGATCATAATCTGAGCCAAAACCAAGAGTCAGATGCTTAACCAACTGGACCACCCAGACACCTCTAAAATTTACATTTTATGAATAATTTACCATTGGTTAGTATGTAAAAGTTAAGTGCAACTCAATTTTTGTGCCTCAGCTTCAGTTGCCCTCCTTTTCTCTATATCACTTACTAGCAATAATGGAAAGTTCGAGTGGGGATGAAAGCGCATCTAAATTAGGAGAAATACTTAGCTTCTTTCCACCTATCTTCTAAGTAGCACATTTTGAGGTGTAGCCCATCAGTGCCTGCTTATTTGCATATTCAAAATGATATTCACAACATTATCTTAACTCTCTTAGTAGAGTAAAACAATCACTTGATAGTCCATTAAAAAACCACATAACTAGAAAGTCACATCGGATGGAAAGCTAATTAGCTGTACTGTTTTCACATTTTGTGTGCATATTTTTCCCCCTAATCAGGGCTTTATTTAATCGCTCTAGTGCTCGATTTTTTTAAATTAATTGTTTTAGATTAATTCTTCTTTTGTTGTTGTTAAAAGTAGTTATTAATGGGACCCGAAGTGGTATGGACCACTGCTGATTCTTGATTCCTGTCACTTAAGCAAGCTTGTCAGGAAGCAGAGTTGCGATCAGTATTCTTTCATCTTCTCTGAGGAACTGTCCATAGCCAGTCCTGGGCAGATACAAAGGATATGTCAGAATTGTTTTATAATGAATTTGAGATGGCGCCTGAAAAATTGATAAGGAAGTACACTTCAGGTGCCAACCAGTTGTTCCTCAAAGCACTACCTCCTGATAGACCCTGGGAATCATGATCCTATCACCTAATTATGATGTCATGAGAGATGTGTCATTAAATGATCTTAGGGAAGGGAGTGGGGAATTGCATATGTAAATTTACAAAATTTAAAGAGCTATCATATTTCATAGTAAAAATTTGAGGAATAGATGAATTATGGAGAGATTATTCAAATTAAAAAGTATTTATTATATGTATACTTTAAGTAACAATATATCTTCTATTTAAAATATGAATCAGTTCATAAAACTTTCTTTTAATTTTTTTCTGTACTTTTTACTCATTAGGAAATCATGGTAAATATAATCAGTATTTTCCAAAGATAAGACATGTTGGGGAAACCTGGGTGACTCAGTCGTTGGGTGTCTGCCTTCGGCTCAAGTCACGATCTCAGGGTCCTGGAGTCGAGTCCTGCATCAGGCCCTCTGCTCAGCCAGGAGCCTGCCTCTCCCTCTGTGCTTCCCCCTGCTTGGGTGCATTTTCTCTTTCTCTCTTTCTCAAATAAATAAATAAAATCTTTAAAAGAAAAAAAAAGACACGTTGGATTCACATCTGTACAATTTTTTTTTCTTAATTTTTTGTTTTGTTTAGCTTTTTTTGTGTTTCGGGCCTCATCACAGCAAGTGTACTCCTTAATCCCCATGAACTATTTTACCCTTCCCCTCCCAACCTCCTTCCCCCGCCCTATAACCAGAAGTTTTTTTTCCTTCATCCCCAGGAATTGGTTTCTCTGATCTGTATTTATTTTAGTCAGAATTGCAATTTTGCAGTCCGTGAACTTCTAAACACCAAAGTTCTAGTTAACTCACTGAGTGGCAAAATTTGATCCATGCTAATGTGGAACTATCATAGACTCTATCCCACCAATCATGATTTTATTATATTTTATTGTGAACACATTAAATAACTTTGAATAGAGTTGCTGACTTGGATCCTCTCCATAGTATGCACTGTATTACCTTTCTGAGATCTGAAACATTTTGAATTCAAAATATATTAGGCTACAAAGATTTTGGATAAGAAATGATGGATCCACACTGATATTTATGTTCTTTGGCCAATCCTTGAAACCCACTTTTTAAATGTTAATAGCTTTGCGGAATGGAATCTAGTGTCAAGAGAGAGGTCTTCTCCAGGTATAGCTCTATGGAATGATTGTTGATATGACTAAGAAGTTCCAGAGTTTTATAAAGGACTTACGTTTTTGCAATTATTACATATAATTTGAATATATTCAGCATCAAGTATTTGAAAATTTCATTTTGGGGGAAGGTTGGATGATAAAACAAAACACTCAACACATTATTCTCTATTAATTATACTTTATGTCTACTGTAATTGTAGTTGTTCAACTCATAGTGATTTAATGGTATCCCTAAAAGGATCTGTGATGATGAGGACTACGTCATCAATCAGTACCTGTGTCTCTTTTCCACTGGCAGGATGTTATTACCTGTTTGAACTATTCCGTTTCAGTTTCTGTTATGTGCATTTTATGTTGTGCTTTCTAATTAGGATACCCACATACTAAGATTAAAAATCACGATTTGATAATCCCCCATTAATGCATGTTGACCTTCCAATGACACTATATCTACCAATTGTAACAGTTTTTGATATCCAAACACAAATTGCCCTTTTGACTTAACCATACATTTGGCTTGAAGTATTTTTAAATGTCTTATTAAAGTTGGAGCAAATGATAGCTTTGCCCTGGGCCAAACCACGGCTTCTTATTCTCTGTACAATTATGTTAATTATATTTTGTTAAAATTCCCAGAGGCCTCAGCTCTAAACTAAGGACCAATATGTAGTTGGTATTAATCGTAATTAATATTGACTACTTGTGTGTGTGTGTGTGTGTGTCTTTCTTTTTTTTAACAGTTACATTTCAAAGAGGCGATGGAGGACTAATGAGCAATGGGAGGTATGCTAAGGAGATTCTTTTTTATTATTATTTTTAATCAGGACTGGAGAAACTATAGTAAGAGGCTATTATTGTAATAAACAATCACTTATAAGTCTGAGAATTCTAGGAGGAATTAAATGGCTTACCACAAGGTTTAATGATCTATCTGTTGTGCACTTTAGAGGAATCAAGTCCAGATGTTTCATATCTCCCAGATGCCCCTGAAGAAATTAGTAGTAAATATCACAAGGAATGTGTTCATTTGTTAGCAGGATGTTTATTGCATTAATTAGACATTAGCAAATGAAGTTGCTGTTGTTTAAGACTCCTTATTGGCTCTCACTAAATTGCTGTGAGTGAACAATTACACATAATCGATCACAAAGTAAATGATTCATGGATGATGAATAGGCTGTAGATTGATAGGACTGGATTCCACAACTTTGGATACTCAATTGAAATTGATAAAAGCTGATAACAAACCCATATATCCTCATCTATTTCCCCTTTGCCAATATGGAGATTGTAATTAGGCTCTGGTAATAACTTCCAATCTCCCATTTAATCAATATTTTAGCAAAAAGAGATTAGGTCTAATGAGAGCTAGTGCATGTAGCAAGTAAGCAGTTGGATCTTATTGTAGTTGCCATAGAAACACATGTTTCTCTTAGGGATTTCATAGAAACAGTCTATCAAAAATAAAGTGCAATGATTATAGATGTTGCTATTTCTTTGTAAATATGCTAATAATCTGGAAAGGAATCAGAGTCCCATCTTTTATATCAAAAATGGGAATTCTTTATTCAATATGATGTAAGGAAGTTTTTCTCATCGATTATACTCACATGCTGGATCAGATCACAGTGAATCGTTAATTACCTTAAAATCTTTAGTATACCCCTAATATCTCACAACTTAGAGAATTTGGAAATGTGCTATTGATGGAACAATATAAATACTGTTCATTAATTTCCTTCAAGTTCTTTGCCTCTAAATCAAGCACAAGGGCTCATAACAGGTGTTATAGCCTACAGGGGACAGATAAATATGGGGGCTGTAGAAATGGAAGAAGCAATAGCCCAAAGTCCTGGAGATGGCTGATGCCGAGCAGTCACCCTGAGCAATTGTTCCCTTGAGGTGCCAATTTATCATCAAACCTTGTTTCGGGATCCTGCTGTGTTACCAATTCCCACCAGTTTCAAGGCAGACAACAGAATTCATTTGGATGTCAGCAAAATCCCAGGCAGGATGCTTCTGCTTCCACTGACAGGCTATATATAGTCTTAATGAACTGCAGAAGTTCCTTAATTCTTGAGAACCTACACTTTTTAATTGGAAGTGAATTAAAATCTTCTTAAATTCTTTCATCTATTTTAGTGCAGGAGACAGGTGTCCAAATCTCTCATTGAGCTCCACCGATTGATTTCCTTTTAATTTCTGTTTCAGCCGTCCTGGTCTTCTAAATGCTGGGGATCCCAGTTACCCATGGCTTGCTGATTCATGGCCAGCCACAAGCTTGCCAGTAAACAACAGCAATAGTGGCCCAAATGAGATTGGGAATTTTGGACGTGGAGGTAAGTTGTGCATTCAAAACTCTGTTATCTGTTTTCTTGGCTTTCCTAAATGTTTTAAAAAATACATACTAGAGAGTATTTTCTTCCACAATTAAAATTACTAAAGCACATGTACTAACAGTGCTCTATATTCACTAAATATTTTATGTAAGACCATTGTGTCTATATTACCTTGCGTAAGACTAAGCTTTAAGGAAGTCATTACTAACCAAGATGGCAAATAGTCATAATACAGTTTGGTTTTAGGACTGTTAGCACAAGATTAGTAAAATCAGAAACTATGCTGCCAAGTAGGGCTTATGATTTTGGACTAGTCATTTCTGTTCTCTACATGTCATTCAACATGTATTTATTAACTATGTCCTATGTACCTGGCATTATGGCACACAATAAAAATAAAATATCAACATAAAGAGAGATGTCCTTAACCTCATAGGATGTATGCTATAGAGATTAGACGCATAAATAAATGTGACCACATGTTGAAGCAGAACTTAAATGTAGTTCTACCATTGATAATTTGTACCCCAAATAAAGAACGAAGAGGTACTAGGTAGCTGATATACTAAGGTCTCCAAAATTTGGTACTAGGGTTCTCTCTGTAGAAACAAAATTTGACCTGCTATAAATAATTACAGCCTCCCCACTGCCACTTTTTCATCCATTCAATAGGAAAATGATCGATTTAGAGAAAGGTGGGACTGGAGAAGTCTGTGGTCCCAGTGATTAGTTTGGCAAAAATAGGTGAGTTTTCCATTGGCAGAAACTTGTGCAAACAGTAAATGGACTAGCGCTGCTTTGCCAGTGCCTAACATGAAAAAGCTGCCTGTTGGGAATAAGAAAGTTTTATGAATGGAGTGTCATTTAAGTTGATATCCGAAGAGAAGGTAGAGATTAGTCAGAATTGTGGAAAAAGTGTGTGAAGAAATGTCTGTATCTTAAGGTCTAGAAAGAAGAGAGGCATTGACCTGTTTGAGAAATGAATGAATTTCCTAATGAGTATAAAGTATGAGGCAGCAGAGGTGGTAAAAAAAAAAAAAAAAAAAATCCAGAGGGACAGATAATAGAGGGCCTTCTAAAATATACAACGATTTTAAACTTTGTCCAGAAGGTAGTCAGAAGGCACCAAAGGATTTGTAAGAGGAGAACACCAGAATCTAAGTACAGAGTTAAGTCATCCAGACCACTGCCAGGTGGGGAATGGAGTTCGAGTAGAAAATGGGAAGATTAATTAGGAGAGCAGTGGTATAATGCACAAAAGTATGGCTGAATCTGCTAGAGGGTTTCTACACCTCTGGGTGGTATTAACGATGGAGGAGACCCAGGGCTTGGCTAACCTATTATAAGCCTCAGTGGTGAATTTCACAGGCATAAGTGTAGAAATAGACTGACTTAGAAGAATAATCATGGACACTGGCATTTTTTTCTTTATGGGTGGAATCCCAATGAGTGTTTGAATATAATTAAAATAGTATTTCAAATAATAAAGCTACTAACTATCGCTTAAGTCTTCATTTTGTCAATACCAACTTGAAGGAAGGGCACTCTCTCCCAATCTCCAAATAAAATACAGAAAATAACATTTCCCCCATCATAGGTGTGTAATGAGGATTAAATGGATAATAACACATTCAGGTTTAACACAAAGCTTGACATACAAGCAGTGGCCAGCAGACATCAGTATAGTAAATGAGAAAACAAACAAACAAAAAAAGTTGTATGACTCCTCAGCTTTTTGCTTGCCCTCTGTAATCACCTGTTTAAGATTCTTATTCTTATTTGTCCAGAACCTGTTTAAGATTCTTATTTGTCTAGAACCTCTGAAAGTGGCTGCCTTCCCCCATGACCAAACTCTGAGCTTTATCGTGGATAGGTTCTATACCTGAGCATCTCCTCACCAGGAGAGTGGAACACTCCCCTCTATGGTACCCAGAATGATTTTGTCAATAGAAATTCTGTTCTGAAGGCTTTCATCAATCAAGGATTAGATCAGTCTTTTACTGGCTGTATTTGTATTTGATTAGTACACCATTCTCTTTACATCAAGAAATGAATGCCTAAAGTTGGGGAAAATATTTTGTTTTGGTTTTATTTTTCAGTTTCTAGTGGGCTACACTAACATCTAAAATGTCTCAGTCTAATTTAGCCAAAGGGTACATTTCTAGATTTTTAAAGATTTTTCTTCAATATCCACCACAGTTTTACGATATGAAATAGTTCACGGGGGAACATCAAGGCCAAGACAAGGTTTTTGCAAGGCTTACCATATTTCTTTTCAGTGTGATAGGCATTGTAAGCATTTACTATGCACCAGATATAGGTAGGCTTTTTTTGTACATTATATTTCATCTCACTGGCATAATAAACATAACATAAATAATAGATAATCATATTTATATTTTAAAGGCCAAGAAACTAAGGTTTATTGAAATGAATAACTTGAGATCTAGGTGTAGAAGGCAGATCTAACACATTGTAAAGCCTCGGTTCCTTTATCTACACTGTTCTGCAGTCCTCTAGGTGGGATTCACGTGTATGATTGTGTAACTACAGTCACTTAAAAGAATTATTGTGGATACTGACATTTCCCTTTCAAGAATGGAATACTAATACATGTTTAAATGTAATGAAAATAGTATTTTGAATAATAAAGTTACTAATTATTGCATAAGTCTGCCTTTTGTCATTACAAGCTATAAAAGATTCATTTAATCATTCGGCAAGTACTTACCCTCTGCAAAACACTAGGTGAGGAATTATGGAAATCCAGACATAAATCCTGTATGTTCCTCTTCTTAAGTGTCTTACGATATGTTACAGGTGATAGTCATTCATTCAAGTATATTAGGCAAAAGAAATAAATGCACGGATCACTCTGGTGCTGAAAACTGCAAAATGAATCATGAGTAGTTCTTTTTGGAGGGAAGGGTGTCTGTAATTCAGAGGTTTAAACTCAAATATCAACAAGTGCCAGTCAGCCCAAAGCACTAAGGAAAGGTAGATGTGGACAGTGGGAAGTGGGAACTAGAAGGTCCTGCCTAAAGATGGCAGCAGCTATTCAGGTCCAGGCTGTTGGAGGAGAGCTGGCTCCGAGTTCCAAACCATCTGATATTATAGGAGGATTCCCCACATCCAGATATTCCTGTAGAATCTTCTAATATTTCAACGTTTGGATATAATTCAATTTATTTTCCAAAAATGGAGGAGTGATCCAATGATAGCTGGAGGACATAGGCAGCCCCCACATCAATATAGAAGCACTTCGACTTGAAGCCTGGCTAATTTCATCCAGCGGGGAGAGACAGATTCTATTTCTAGTGCTGTAACCTCAGTTGTTGCAGGATAACATTCTGTAGGATTAGGTCCTCGGACAACTTTTTTCCATTTTTAAACATCTAAACATGCAACCATTTCAAAAGCTCACAGATTAAGTGGCTCCCAATCTAAACTGAACATTTTAGAAGGCCTCAAGTTCAAGGTGTTGGGAAGTTGGGACCTGTGCTGGACACACATGTCTATCCAGTTAATATTATCAGTGCAAGATGGTAGATGTGGCAGAAACAAAATTCTGAAAATTTCCCCAGAGTGAAGGATCTGTTTTCATAATTCTGACATACTACTAAATATTAAATGCTTTTGAGAATGCAAATGATATTGACATTTGAGGATGAAGTATACTTTTTCATTATCCAATTTTCTTTCTTTTTTTAAAAAAAGATTTTATTTATTTATTTGACAGATAGAGATCACAAGTAGGCAGAGAGGCAGGCAGAGAGAGAGGAGGAAGCAGGCTCCCTGCTGAGCAGAGAGCCCGATGTGGGGTTTGATCCTAGGACCCTGGGATCATGACCAGAGCTGAAGGCAGAGGTTTTAACCCACTGAGCCACCCAGGCAATTTTAAAGTTTTAAAGTTCCAATTTTCTAAGTAGTTTATAGGTAAAAGCAAAAAGGGCCAAAAAGGAGTTATGGGATTCTGAAATCTAAAACCAATTTTACTTGCTTGTACAATTTTGTGAAATACTATATATTTGAATATCTTCAATAATTTCACTGATATGCACTTAAAATATTTACTTCAATAAAGTGTGTATCCACTTACTTATAAAGCGAGTTAGAATTCCAGACTTTAGAAAGATCTAAATTATGCAGTGTGCAAAATGGATTATAAATGTCTTTCTATTGCTAAAGAAGACATTTGAGCTTTTGTAAAATGCAAAAGCAAAATTAATATTTTTTTATGAATCTTTATTTTACATACAATTGGGTATCATCAAACCTAAAAGTTTGAGGATATTTTGACTAAGTTTCACTTTCTGCATTTTCTTGTCATGATAAATTGGTTTTAGGAGGAAAATAATTTGGTTTATTACTTACAATATTATAGTACTTTAACTAGTTGAAAATTTCCCATAATGAAGAAATCATTGACCATCTCAAGTCCTATGAAGTATGGCTTTCAGGACATAGATTGTTAAGGAACATATACTATAATTAGATTCACTTTTGACTCTACGTGATTAAAAATATGTCATTTAGTGTTGTTTTATTTTTTAAATATTTATTTATTTTAGAGAGAGAGAGCAAGTGTGAGCAGGGGTAGGGAGGGAAGCAGAGGGAGAGGGAAAGACTATATCAAGCAGAATGCCCATTGAGTGCAGAGTCTGACATGGTTCTTGATCTCACGATCCCAAGATCTTGACCTGAGCTGAAATCACGAGTCAGAGGCTTAACCAACTGAGCCACCCAGGCACCCTGGTATTGTTTTTTTTGTTGTTTTGGCTTTTTAAAAATCTAGTACCTTTCTTCTAAAAAAGGAAAAAGAAATAAGAGATCGGGAGGGAGGTGGCAGTTCTGAATTATAATGCATCATGTAAAGATAATTCAGCACGCCAAAAGATAAAAGGACTGATTGATATTCAGTGTTGTTACTAAAGTTTAATTTTACTCTTGCTGTATTATAACTTGAAACTATAATTCTCCACTTCTAAGAGTTAGTAGCATAAATTAAACTCACGGATCACTCAGATTGCTTTTTCTATAGTTAAATCCTGCTGTATTGTGAAAATGATTTATTCATGAAAATTATCTTTTGTTACCCAAGAAAAAAAAAGTTCCTACCATCCGCTCCACTCCATACTGGAACTGTGAAATCAAATCAGAGAAACAGCAAGCTGGAACTTCAGAAAAATGTATCTCTTAGTTGGCTTGTGTAGTCTAATTTTGGACAATTTTGCATCTATTCAGCAGCTATATTCTCTGTCTTTGGGGGTAACGCGGAAAAAGATGTTTTCAATCCATAACTGGTAGATTCGCTTTTATTATTTCTTCTGTAAGGAGCTAACAACCTCATTGGTTCGAAAAACGGGATGCACAACTGAAAGCATTTTTCAGTAGTGAAATATCCCAAACCTCCCATTCATGGTTGCAGAAAATGGGGGAAGGGACGTGGTAAGCAGTGAGACGTGAAGGACGAGCGGGAGGCCTGCCTGTCACCAACACTGATAGCTTGGAGATGGTTGTACATCATCTACCCTTCATTGACTCATAAAGCCCATCTCAGCTGAAATGCAAACGTGCGGCATGACACGTTTATTTTTCATCTTCAGTCCTGATAGTTTGGGGCTTCCTGTGCATCATTAAATTGTTTCATTTCCTTACGTTCCCCACAGATGTGCTACCGCCAGTTCCAGGCCAAGGGGATAAAACAGCAACGATGCTCTCAGACGGAGCCATTTACAGCAGCATTGACTTCACGACCAAAACCACTTACAACAGTTCCAGCCAAATAACACAGGCCACCCCATATGCCACCACACAGATCTTGCATTCCAACAGCATCCATGAATTGGCGGTCGATCTGCCCGATCCACAGTGGAAAAGCTCGATTCAGCAAAAAACAGACCTGATGGGATTCGGATATTCTCTACCTGATCAGAACAAAGGTAACAATGGTGAGTCAGGGTCTAACACCCCGAGGATTTCTTTTCATATCATTTGTGCATGAGATAGAAATTAGTATTTGTTGTTCAGTTTAGTGACTCATTACCAGGTTCACTACCTAAACTAAAAAAAATATTCTTGGCATGTGTTCGGTACCTTGCACAATCCTTCCCACCGTCACCGCCACCGTCACTGCCACCACACGCCAACACCAATCGGTTTCATCCTTTTAGCTCTTTTTTCAGTAGAGTGGTCAGTAATCCATCTCAACTTCCATTAGGCAGGAGAGGCGGAACATTCCTCCACTGTCCCACAACATCTGCTTCTGAGTTGCTAACTGCATGTTCTGCATGGGCTTGTGCTGTGAACGAATCACATGATGCCACTATGACCTCTGCCCTTTAACCCTTAGCCTTACTTTACATCCCTGACTACCGATTGGCTGAGGGATTGTCTAATAGAATGCCACACAACCAGTCACAGGATTTCAGCACCACCAGCTCTCACAACAGCTCAGAGAGGAGTGGCAGTCTCTCAGGTTGGTCTCATCACAGTAAGGAGAAATATTTGTTTGTCACCAGCATATGACCTGTGTTCCTAACAACCGTGAAGAAATACTGAGTCACAGCTCACTGTCAGGCATTTATCTTTCAGATGACAACAGCAGTTTATCCTAATGAAATCAGACTTTGGGAAGGGGTGGGGGGGATAAAAATCCCTGTCACTCTTTATGTACTAAGTGTGCAAAACCATATTTACTGGAAAATTATACAATTTTCCTATTATTTAGGAAAGAACAGATGAGTTTGATCTGCCTTGAACCCTACCTAAGAGCCAAGAGAACTTTATAATAAAAAGATCACAGGGGAAAGTCAACTCCATGACATGGGCAGCAAACAATGAATTCAGCTAAAATGCAAATTATTTGGGACATGTTTCATAACAACTGGATTCTGGTGATGTGACCTATTTTTGGACAATGTTTCCAAAATATTATGGAATAGGATTTATTATCTATTGAATGATATTTAGAGTAAGGTGCTGCTACCATGCTAACCAAGAATGTTAATATCAGACATTATTCCTCACACTTAATTTCCAAAAAAATTTCAATCTGTATATCGATAATTCTTTTATGCTGTAGATGTTAATATATATTTGACCTGTATCAGCCAAACCTACAATCTATAATATAGGTATTGTATAGCACATATCAGGACAGACTTTTACCAGACAGAAATATATGCCTGTCATAATGAATAGAACCGATATCCTTCAGGATCCTCACCTCTAAAATAAGGAGGTCGTAGTAGACACATTCTCCCTTTCAACCATAACATGTACATCATGTAACTGATGATTTTTATCTGCACATTTCTAATTGATTCCATGACCTTATTTGCTTATTTTTTTCATATTAGTGATTTGCCATTTGTTCTGATGAATTTTTTTTTTATCTACAAGTTCTTAGTAAAGGATTATAGCGTATTATGATATGTCACAGGCTACTAGGCCATAAAGAGTTAACTCTTTTACATTAGGGTAACATTTACTAAATGACTTTTCCTCAGGAGATAGAACCCTTTCAGTCTGAAATGTTAATGCTCTCTCTTCCCTCCAAAATGAGCCATTTGCTCTTCTTACCTATTGGTAGAATTAGATACATTATAGAATCAAGAAAATTTTAAACATCTGTTATGAATTTAAACTGGCTTAATAATATAGGGGGATATTTTGAATAACCTTATATGTCGTTTTTAATGTCATTTATTTATAATGAATCCCACAGTTGTACTGAATAATTAAAAAGTAATGTATCCTAGGACTATTCCATTCAAGATATGTAAAGTTCTAAGCAATATATGTATTTTTAAAAATCTATATATTTTAAGCCATGCATTACATAAGACCTTTTGTGAATCCTTCATTAAATATTCTGTATATGTTGATTGACACTGAGTTTTAAAAGTTACCTTCTGAGTAATTGTAAGCAGAACTTGATTCACAATAGTGCTTACTGCTTTTTTTTAAATCTATTAATCTCCCAAGTGACATTTATATATATCTCTGAATTATATTAACTACTTCATCTACATTTGAATACAAAATTACTTAAATTGGTGATAGAAAGCATTCTTTGGGAGGTGAGAGTGAAGTGATTATTCCCTTTTAGTTTAGTCCAATTGAGTTTAATATCACAAAATTTGCTTCATTCTTTTAATAATCATGGATGTGTTTTCTAAGGCTCAAATTTAAGATCCAACTGCCCAATGGATATCTAATCATATATTATAAGATCTTAATTTGTGCACAGTAATGAAACCAATTTAAAATAATCGCAAAATAAAGTTGGACATTTCTGAATTATTTCAGTGAATTCCTCATCCTCCTTGAAACAATTTTATAATTTATTCCATACATAAGTTCTGAGCATTTGTGCTAAAAATGCAACCACTAAAAGAAAAAAACCTCAGATCTCTCAAAAACCATAGGCAATCATAATTATGTATATACATATATGTATCTCAGTATCAGTAGTGACAATGAAATATTTTTATACACCAGTATTTTTCAAAATAGAGTATGTGTTTAACTAACTTGAAAATGATTTATTTTTATAATTTTCTATGCATGAGAGTTGTTCGTTCAGCATCAGTAAGTGTCAATTTAAATATTTACATTTTGAGTTGAAGAGAAATGGGTCAGATATGTTTGCCAGTCTTCAAACTATGTTCCTCTAAAGCATAAGGCAGGCATTTCTGCCCTTAAAATGCTTGGGGATCTTAGGTTGCAAGTAACAACAACAAACTGTGGCTCACTTAGCTCAAGGTATAGATCTTAGGTAAACATTTAATTTCGTTAACTTCTGTTATATGCCCCCCACCATGCTCAGAGCCCCACCTCTTAGGTCAATGCTAAGAGAGGACAAAGCATATCAATTGATAGTCCCATCAGGACACACCACAATGACAGAGCAGAAATTTCCCAAAGAGGGGAAAGTGGGCATTGGAGGAAAACCTTATTAGAGGAAAATTCCATCTATGAATCAGCTTTGTTTCCCCAATTCATTTTTTTTTTTTTAATTTTTATTTATTTATTTGTCAGAAAGATAGAGAGAGCACAGGCAGAGTGGCAGGCAGAGGCAGAAGCAGGCTCCCCACAGAACAAGGAGCCCGATGTGGGACTCGATCCTAGAACGCTGGGATCATGACCTGAGCCGAAGGCAGCTGCTTAACCAACTGAGCCACCCAGGCGTCCCTCCCCAATTCATTTTTAAGTCTGATATTTTGAAGAGTTGATAATGCCTTTTTTGACCTTGGACAAGAACTTCAACAGAGTTGGGTTTAGAGCTCCAGAAGTAGTCATTTCTAGTAAAGCTGCTGCATTTAAAATTTTTCTTACTGTGTGAATATGGACCACATAACATTTATAAAGAACCTCTGTTTTCTCATCTATTAAGTACTTCATCTACATTTGAATACAATATTACTTAAACTGGTGATAGAAAGCATTCTTTGGGAGGTGAGAGTGAAGTGATTATTCCCTTTTAGTTTAGTCCAACTAAGTTTAATATTACAGAATTTGCTTTATGGAGATTTAAGAACTTCCCTATCTGTATCATTCAGTTCTGGTGGTGATCATACAACATTTCTAAAGTGAAGAGTGAAGAAAACATTGTACACCTATAATTATATAAGGAATAAAAGATATACAATGAGGGGGAAAGCCAGTGAGGGCACACAACCCAGCCCATTTCTTTTTTAATTATTGAAATACAGTTCAGTTTCAGAAACTGCACAAAAGATATGATCCTGGTTTATGATTTTGATGAATGATCAAGAAACAAAGGATTAAGGCTTATCTACCTTAAGCATAAAAATTATAGATTTCTATTCAAGCAGATTTATTATTTTTATTCCAGGAATCACACTATTTCTGGGATACTCATTGGGGTTGGAGAAGTTAGGCTTGATGAAGGCTGTAGAAATGGGTAGAACCAGGCTTGCTCTAAGATAGAGGGAATTTGGGAAAGAGTAATAATGACTGGGATTTATTGAGATTTCTATACAAGCTGAGCCTCTCCATGCTTTATCTCGTTTAATCCTCAGAATACTGCAAAAATGTAGGAACTTTATGTTTATTTTACTTCTGTGGAAATTGAAGGGGTATCTGTCAAGTAATTTACCAAGTGAGAAACTAGTCTTCGAACCCAGATTAAGCTGGGTTTGTAGAACCCAGATTATCCTTGAAGCAGAAGATACCTGCTCTTCTTTCTCCTAATACCTCTCCTACTGCCAAAGATAGGAAGTGAAAGGAAGGGTGAAAGCATTTTGTCTGTAGGGGCGCTCTTTTAAATCTGTGTGTTTATGTACACACGATCTAGACGACAGACATAATTCCATAGTTGGCAACAGTGTCTATGTCCAGTTTAGTAGTTTCATCACTTTCTGGCGCTCAAATAAATTATGACTAAATGACCTAATTTTCTGAGTTGGCTGATGCAGTTTAGTTATTGGTAGAAGAAAGGAGGTGAGACTTCTAGTAGTATCTCTATTGATAGCCCTGCTGCAAGTAGTCAGTGCTGACAACATGCAGGGCCAGAAAGATGAGGTCCAAGGGGTCCATAGCATTTTTTGGAAATGTAACTATAGGCTGCATTAGGAGTGAAGTAAGCTTCTTGGGTTCCAATGAAACAAAATCCTTTGTTATGCTGTTTGAGAAGCGCTCATTCTTGCAATCAACTGTGGTCCATTTAGGAAGAAACTTGATTTACCTAAACTTTGGAAGAGTGAAAAGCACTATACAAATGATGAATTTTATTTTTATATTTCATTAAGCTCCAGTAATTCCAGAGTTAGCTCTTATGCTGCCAAGTTATTTTTTGCTCATGTTTTGTGCATGAATTCATTTGTATTAACAATAGTACTGAAATTGATCACTGCATTTCCATTAATTATCCCACTCTTTTTGGAATTTTAGGAAATGTTATGCTTAAAACATCTGGGAACTACTCTCACTATAGGCAAAAATAATTACCCCATTCGTTAGTTTAAAATTCTATAAGATTTATCATTGTGAAAGATTTACAAGTATCCAGATTATAGTTGATTGATTTTTATCAGTCACTTTTGAGAGAAAACTGTGCTCTCCTGGATTAATTAAATTGAGTAAATTCTAATGGAAAAGTTTAGCCTCTATCCTTAGACACTGCATTTTCCACTGAGAGAGATTATGCAAAAGAGCATTATAAACGCACTAAAATCTGACATTTGAAAGAATTTGTTATGGCCCATTATTTCATCTAACAATGAAAATGTAGAGGCAGCAGACGTGAATAAATCAATAAGTGTGCTTTTGCTGCAGAAGCCATGTTTTTGGTTTATTCAGCACTGTAGTTAATGCATCGGGGGAAAAATAATATAATTTTGAGCGATTTATAAAAACGTTTTTCTGATTATATCATCTCATTGTTTATAGCTTTTAACAAATGTAATATACTGATTGTGGTGTTTTGAAAACATAAATACGTCTTCCCTTCTGATGTACTCTTTTTCTACTGATGTATGGTATAGCTGAATAAAGGTGTTATTACTTTCAGGTGGGAAAGGTGGAAAAAAGAAGAAAAATAAAAACTCTTCTAAACCACAGAAAAACAATGGATCGACCTGGGCCAATGTTCCTCTACCTCCTCCCCCAGTCCAGCCCCTTCCTGGTACAGAGCTGGAACACTATTCAGTGGAACAGCAAGAAAATGGGTAAAACTATTTTCCATACCAACAAAATGCCCCAGGCTCTCCCCTTCTCTTTCTTGTACCTTTTTGTCTTTATCTGGTGTTCTCTTACTGTTTTCCCTGCCCCCTTCCCAGCCCATTCATCCCCCTCCCCCCAACCCCCTTTTATTGTTTGCACTGTCTATGTATTTTAGCTGATAAATACAACACAGCACATATTGAGAACCCGGAATCCTTGGCCATCAAGTGCTTCAGATTGTCAGCAATCATGATAATGCAACCTCCATTTATAATATTGCTTGTTGGTTTGAAAGCAAGTACCCACAGCAAGAGCCACTCCTGAGTGGGGCTGAAAAGGGAATTAAAATAACCTTCCTCATCATCTCTCACAGTTTTCTAATGACTTGGTGTCTGGCCACAGCAGAGAATCCACTGTTGAGCTCCATCCCATGGTGTAATTGTAGGGACTTTAATCATTAGCTTTGATGGGAGTTTCGGGGCCAGAACGGTGAAAGAGGTTCAAGCTGATGCACATTCTGGAACAAAACCTCTCGAAGTTAGAAAATGTCCTTTAAGGGCATTTAAATGTGACCGGTTTCCTTATTCATTTCCAAATATGTCTCAAGAGTTAGTGTTCCTCTGTTAACGTGTTAAATTGATTTAAAGCAGAAAGACACTGATACTTTTTATTTTCTAATTTTAAAAAACCTAGCAAATTAAGAGAAACATACTGAGTCCTTTTTTTTTTCTATTTTAATAATTCTAATTGCTCTTTCTCACAATTTCTGGGTCCCCACCACTTTTGAGTGAAACTGATAAATGCATAATAAAGACAGCTTTTCTTTTTCCAAGTTTATTTAAATTTTGAAGTATTTAGATGTTAAGACTCCTCAGTTTATTTGAATAATAGCTTTATCTCCTGTCTTATTTTGTGTAAAGAGCACATGCACATAGTTTTTTTTTGCTCCATCTCCTTTTCTTTTAAAACAAGTGCTATCTTTAATGTCTGGGATTAATTTTTTTTTTTTTTTTTTTTTTTTTTTTTTGAAACGGGAGAGAGAAATGAGGGGTAGAGGGAGAGGGAGAGAGGAGAATCTTAAGCAGGCTCCATGCCCAACACTGGTTCTGAAGTAGGGCTCGATCTCAGGAGCCTGAGCCACAGTCAAGAGCAGGACACTGAACTGATGAGCCACCCAAGTGTCACTCCAGGCTAATATTCTTTTTTTTTTTTTTTTTAAGATTTTATTTTTTTATGACAGAGAAATAGTGAGAGAGGGAACACAAGTATGGGGGAGCTAGAGAGAGAGAACCAGGCTCCCAGGTTAGCAGGGACACCAATATGGGGCTTGATCCCAGGATACAGGGATCATGACCTGAGCTGAAGGCAGACGTTTAATGACTCAGCCACCCAGGCACCCCTAGATTAATATTCATGATTGGAACTTTCTTTTTTTTTTTAAGATTGTATTTATTTATTTGACAGAAAGAGAGAGATCACAAGTAGGTGGAGAGGCAGGCACAGAGAGAGAGGGGGAAGTAGGCTTCCCACTGAGCAGAGAGCCCAACAGGGGCTCCATCCCAGGACCCCAAGACCATGACCTGAGCCAAAGGCAGAGGCTTAACCCACTGAACCACCCAGGTGCCCCAGAATTGGAACTTTCTATGTCACAACTTTGCTTCCTTTCAAAGACCTCATTTACCTTTTTTTTTGGTTATGTAATACATATACATATATACTATAATATATACATTATATAAACAGATGATAGATATGCATATGTGTGTATATATATATTCATACACACATACACATATATTCACATACATACCTCTATATTTTCTTCTCTACATATTTTTTAAAATATTTTATTTATTTATTTAACACACAAAGAGAGATCACAAGTAAGCAGAGAGGCAAGCAGAGAGAGGGGGGAAGCAGGCTCCCTGCTGAGCAGAGAGCCCGATGCAGGACTCGATCCCAGGACCCTGAGATCATGACCTGAGCCGAAGACAGAGGCTTAACCCACTGAGCCACCTGGGCACCCTCTACATATTTCTTTTTCTCCAAGGGTCTTCACCTTCTTTTGTGGGATTGTAATTCCCGTATATAAACATAGCATTATTATTTTACTTTTTTAAAATGTTCTCATTCAAAATAGGAAATTAAGAGCACACCCTCTTTTCTCTGACTTTTTAAAAATGTTAAACTTTGCACATGATCTTATGTTAAACATCAATAATGTAAATGTGCCCATGCCACATGGAGTCTGTTGAAGAAAAACCAAATGTGTGAATTCCATAAGAAAAGATGATTACAGGGTTTAAGAATCTGCATTTTTTCCTAAGATTTTATTTGTCAGAGAGAGAGAGAGAGAGGGCATAAGCAGGGGGAGCAGCAGGCAGAGGGAGAAGCAGACTCCCCACTGAGCCAAGAGCCCAATGCAGGACTCGATCCCGGGACCCTGGGATCATGACCTGAGCTGAAGGCAGATGCTTAATGGACTGCAATAGCTATTACCCACTGAAATAAAATTAATTCATTCCAAACAAATGCTAAACTTCTCACTCTATTTTATTGCCCAGCAGTAGAATTGAAAATATCATTTCATGAATGAAATGATACACATTGCTGAAGACTTCTATTTTTTGATATAAATTATTTTTTGAACTATCAAGCCATAAAATATAAAGTTATTTCTGGATTATTTTAATATTTAGCCAGGATGTATGCTATTAGAACATCTTTTCTTTTGTAAAAGATTTCTAGAAATTCGTTTGGTCCTTTAGACAGGTAAAGAAATATACATTTCCATTATATATATTCAAAATCTTTGTAGCGTGGAGCTTGGTTTTTAATAACCTTTGAATTATTTGCCTTAAGTATCTAGTATTTTCTGGAACAAAAATTTTCACTTTTAACCAAAATAGTAAAGTCTTACCTATCACTAAATTGACAGCAAAATTCAATTTTCTTTTTCTTTGGACTCCATTTCTTGATATATTCTTTATACTTCTTTGTTTTCTAATGTGAAAACCTCATAATATTGAAAAGAAGGGGCAGCTGGGTGGCTCAGTCACTTAAATGTCTGAGTCTTGATTTCAGCTCAGGTCATGATCTCAGGGTCCTGAGATCAAGCTCCATGCCCAGAGGAGAGTCTGCTCTATGTGTGCTTGTGCCCATTCTCTCTCTCAAATAAATAATTAATACATGTTTAAAAAAAGAAAAGGAAGGATTTTTGAACACTTCCTAGATTATTTTATAATGTGCTATTCATAAAACTAACATTGAATATTTTACAGATGAGTTCTTCTATAGAATTGTTTATATGCTTTGTTTTGAAACTTGTGTAGGTTTAAGGTTCTCTTGAAATACAAACAAAAAAAACTTCAGAAATCACCTTTTAGTTATGATTATTTTTATTGTAGCATTCAAGGATTCTGCAACTGTACTTCCTATGGTGATATATAGTTTTTCTTTCTGCTGTTTTTAGCATATCATAATAGAGAACTTATCCAACATACATTTTTTTCAAGTACATAGTAAATGCTATGCCCAGTGCCAGGAAAAAAAGCAACAGAGATGAAAGAAACAGATACATAATTATTCAGGAAGATCTAGTTCACAGGAGTGGTAGGTAGAGACCAGAAAACACATAAGACCGTGTGTGCACACACACTATTTTATATGATAAGCCCTAGATGAGCAAATATACAAAATAATAATTTGTATTGTGGAAAGGATAACCATTTATGCCAGGTGTAAGGCTGGGACAGTCCTATAGAAGCTCAGTTTTGGTGTGGTGCATAAATAATGAATTCTGGGACACTGAAAAGTAATGTTAAAAAATAAATAAAAATTTTTAAAAAAAGGAAAAAAAGAAGCTCAGTTTTGAAGTGAATCTTAAATCATTTGTTCACAAATAATAGCACCCAGAGTTCTAACCAGCTGATGAGTGCCAGCTCTGAGCTTGAGGCAGAAAAAACGAAGGACAAGCAATGGTCCCTAACCTAAAGCAGCCTAGGTGCCAGAATAAATTATGAACCAAGGACTACAACAAAATGTTGCTAATATCACCATTTGCTGTGCAGATGGAGAGAAATTTCAATAGCTGAAAGAAAAAATGTATATAAATATATAGGGGCTCCTGGCTGGCTTGGTTGGTTGGGAAACTGCCTTCAGCTCAGGTCATAATCCTGGAGTCCTGGGATCGAGTCGCACATCAGGCTCCCTGCTCAGCGGGGAGTCTGTTTCTCCCTCTGACCCTCCCCCTTCTCATGCTCTCTCTCTCTCTCTCTCTCTCTCTCAAATGAATAAATAAAATCTTTTAAATGTATATATATATATATATATATATATATATATATATATATATATATATATGGGGCGCCTGGGTGGCTCAGCGGGTTAAAGCCTCTGCCTTCGGCTCAGGTCATGATCCCAGGGTCCTGGGATAAAGCCCCACATCAGGCTCTCTGCTCGGCAGGGAGCCTGCTTCCCCCGCCCACCCTCTGCCTGCTTCTCTGCCTACTTGTGATCGCTATCAAATAAATAAATAAAATCTTAAATATATATATATATAATGAAAGATAGGAAAAAAAGAATAGCCCCATTCATTTTCCTTTATACTCCCTACTCTTCCTTGAAAACTCCATCTTACTCTAGTTAAGGTGACTAGCCTTTCCTTAATTTTGTTATTCCTTAAGCTCACTACTCTACTGCAGTACTCATTGCATTGCATTCTAATTGCTCATGTGTATCCTTCAGCAATCGGTACCTGCTGTATGAGGTTTGAAATATTCATAGAGTAAGAGATAATCTGAAAAGGTGTCTTGTGGCCAACTGTGAAGCCTTGTCTGTCATATAGGGATTTTGACCTTTGGATATAGATGATGGATAACATTTGGGATACTACAGCAGAATAGCCAATAGCTTGAAAAATGATAAGGCCATAAGCTAAGGCAATGGCAGTAGGATGGAGGAAAGGGATAAATTTTGGAAATATACCTAGCCCAGAATAATCTCA